GTGTGTGTGTGTGTGTGTGTGTGTGTGTGTGTGTGTGTGTGTGTGTGCATCTCTGCATCTCTGAGCCCCCTCGACAAATCAGTCTTAACTCTGTCAGCCGCTTTGACTCGGTGCGCTTGTACCGGGTGTTAAGGCGGATTGTCAGTTTGTGGTCAGGAGGAGTTTCTAAATGACGAGCTTCTGGCCTTTGTGACGGTAATTAGCCGGCCGTGTCACGTTAGCAAAGAGTGTTTTCCCTCCGTCTCATCTCGTCTGCTGCTCGAGAGGGTAAAAGGAGGCGCAGTGTTTTCTTTTTTGATAACCTTGACATTGGATGCGACACGTATTCATTCGAGCTGACCTTGATTTCCACATGTGGGAGTCAGCGTGTGCTGCTGTGAAAGGCTTGTTTTCCGCCCCACGGTTTAAACAAAGTGAATAATACTTCAGAGGGAACTGATATTATCATTCTGTAGGGAGCAGTTTGGTAGATGAGCTTGTTGGCTGTCTTACCTACAGTTAAATGAGAAGATCTATCTGATCTCTGTAAGCTGTTAGCTTAACTCAATATGTCATAGCTTACTTCGATACACCGTTAGCTTACAATGGCTAATTTGCCATAGTAGGAAGTAGTTTCTATGTACGCATATGGTCTGTTGATTATCCAGAGTAATTAGGACATATTTCGGGGAGAGGCATATGTATATAATCTTTGTCTTTTTAGTTAAGTCAGAAAATGGAACAACACTTCTTTCTAGAATTCTTGAAAAATGGATGCTGTGAGTGCATGTTCTCGCCACACAAGTGTACATAGTTCTGGGATATAGATATGTCTGAATCATTACAGGAATGTGCGGTTGGGTGCTGGTTACAATCCATGTCAGTAAAAATATACAGTTGAAGAACACCAAGGCAGCTTACCGGGATGAAAAAGACAAATCTCATCCACACTGTTAAATCCAGTTTCAGTGAAACACCGTTAATATATATATATATATATATATATATATATATATATATACATATCAGCCCAGACAATAATTTGTGCTTATATTTCTTGTAAAAAATACATTTTGTCACTGTTAATTGTACTAAACATTGTACTGTTGACGGAAATACACCGTAATATGAACAACAATCAATACCGCCTTTTTTGTATTTAAAACTTAACTTTTCTTTGTCTCACTGTTAAATGTACGGAGCATTGACAGCCAGAGTCATCTCTTGCTGTGCAGAGTATGACAGGCAGCGGGATGTTATCTTTGATCTGAAACACTGGCTCGCAAACACACAAACTATCTCACACACACAAAATAAACACTAAATGTGGCCTTGGGTTAGTGCATGCTACATGCAGGCACACACACACACACGCACACACACACACACACAAAGCCATGAGTGTATGACAGATGAAGGGGGTTAATTGCCTCAGCCTTACATCATGAGTGGCATCAATGCACTGTTATATGGTGGAAGGGGAAATGAATATGATGGCAATCTCTCTTTGTCTCTTAACCATTTCCCTTCTTTATCTTCACTCCCCTGTTGTATTTCTCTCTTCTGCAACATCGTGGCACACATCTTTGTCTTCTCTTTATTTTTTTCTCCGTTCCCCAATTCTCCCGATGCATTTTGTAGTGTTTCTTTGTGGACTATTGTTCTTGTCAAAATACCTTTAATAAAGAATTTTTACAAAGTGTGTTTTTTGTTGTGTTTTTTGTTGTGTTTTTCCAATTTGCTGGACTTCACCCTTCCAAAGAGTTAGGTGTGTAATGGTGTTGGAAATCATTCAAAAGAATAAGAGACCGTTGCTTTGAAAAACAGTTTCTATTAATATCAGACTGATTCTATGAATAAAAAAACATTTCCATGAATAACAGACTGTTACTATGAGTACA